TATTCTTTCATTCTTTTATAGAGAGAACAGAAAAACAAACAAAAAAAGAAGAGAAAAAAATGATTATAGAGAGATGGAAGATCTAATAACATAAAATGTACTCCGAAACAGTCGGAGTCGATCGATAAAACGTTCCAAGGCATACCAAAGTAGCCCTGTCTCGTTCTAGTTTTATTCGCTTCTCAATTCTGTCGGACGGGTTCGTACAAAATGGGGCTCTCGAGTCTTTCCTTCGAAAAGAAAGAATTTTACGGATAAAATTGACTTCCCGAGGACGTAGAGTTCAAGGCGACGGCTGAAAACGTTCCGGAAAATCTCAGAGATCCCTTTCTTCGAGACGAATGAACGCGATAACCCAACGAAGGATCGAGAGAGAAAAAAAGAAAAAGAAATCGAAGAGAAGAGTTTGCATTGGAAATTCAGCAAACCCGACGGCAAATCGCTAGTCGAAGAACTAGTAGCCTGGCGATCGGCCAAGGCCCATATCCCAACTGTATCGACCTTTTACTCTCTCGAAAATAACGGTATCAGCTAATAAATGCAACCCCTTTTACCCAACCCTTTTTTCCTCTCTCGATCTTTCGATATAGGTAAATCGTTCTATGCCTTGTCCCGGTTTCTTTCCACTCGCTCGATCACAACACGCGATACTTGACTACGATCGGAAAGGAAAACGTTCGATCTAGATATATAAGAACTCTATTAATGCTGTCGCTTCGCCGGAAGGTCTTTTGGAGGAATAAAGGAGAGAGCAAAAAAGAAATGAGAAAAAAGTACAGGTCTTTGATGGCATAGAAGAAGCATACTTTCTTAGGAAAAATATAAACGAGAAAAGAACGAATCGTACATTTCGTAAACGACTTGTTTCGTATCGACGGAAGGAGGGAAAAAATTGAGGAAAAATTGTACACGGCGATGACAATCACGGAGAGAATGCTTGTTCAGGAATTTTGTATCACACGGAAGCAATTAGTCTAGGGGCAAATCGAATCTCTCTCTCTCTCTGTCTCTCTCTCTCTCTCCGTTCTCAAATCTCAACCGAGAGAGGGAATTTGAAGAGACGAAGCCATGAGGAAGCAGACGTCGGAACGAGACTGTCATTTAATTTGTATTTAAATTGAGTTCGATCTATCGTTTTGCTCTATTCCATGATTTCTCCCCTCTTTCTCTCTCTCTCTCTCTCTCTCCGTCTCCCTCTCACGCTCCTCATTTTTTGTTCTCGTTGAAACGACCGACGCAAAGTACACAAAGAAAAGGGATACGTTTATGCCAATTGACTTTCAATGAGAATCGGTCCGAATTGTAATCGATAAAAAAAAAAAAAAGAATCGAAAGAAGGAACCTACAGAAGAGCGAAAAAGAAAACATAAAGCAAACGCTCGTGTCTGTTTTATTAATGACGAATCACAACTCGTTCAGACCACTTATTGACTTTAATAAAAGTGCTTATCACGTGCGGTCCTTCTTCTTGTTTTTTCCTCCTTTGGCAATAAGTCAGAGACGCGTGTTACAAAGGCACGTAGAACGTACATACAGGGCATACGTTTTCATTATCACAGTGCTCGACTCTTACTCGCCGTCATAAAGCAGTCACGGAAGGTTCGCGTTTTGCTTTTACGTACATAAAGGGGCCAGGGTGTATGTATTACTCGAGCACAATTAAAACACCGTCGGCCTCGATTAAATTCTCTTTCTCTTTCGGTACGTAGGGAACGTTAATTAAACAGTAATTAACGACAACGGCGTTGATCGACGCGTATACAAAGCTCGCGAGCTTGCGACAAAGCATTAATAGGTCGCTCGTCTTTCTTTCAATTTTCTCGCGAGCCTTGTAGAAATTTATCATTGCAAACGAGATTATTGATCGAACCGCGAATATAAAGATTTTTTTTGTGGATCATACAATAGACGATCTCGCGCTAAATATTTCGATATATTACGATCGAAGAATCTATAAAGGCGAAACTACGACCTTTAGTATCATTTTAGATGTGATCTCGAGCTCTACAATTTTGTCCGGCAGCTTTGCTTTACCAATCGTAGTGTTTTAAGTGGCCCGAAATGAATTCGACACTCACACGAACGTGCGCACTACTCGAGCATGCCTACATCGTCGGAGGGTAAATTGCATTCAGAGTAAATTTCGGTATCAGTTTCGCGTTCCGCTCTTCGTTACGATACGAAATAGATAGAGATAGATAGATAGATAGATCGATACGAGAGATACAGAGGGAGAGAGAGAGAGAGAGAGAGGGTGGGGGGGACATTTCGTTATCGTTTCACGATAAAACGACCAAATTTACGTTCACTGTAAAACCGACTTGTCGATTCATTTTCAACAATAAACGTACACGTATGTTTTCATACGTCTTAAAATAAAATTAAAGAGGGAGAGAGAGAGAGAGAGAGAGAGAGAACTATATGATCACTGTTTATTTGTAATGACAATCATAGTAAGGATCACTGTGAAAAATAAACAAACCGTAGCTCTTGTATAAGCCATATACGATACAACATGGTCGTGTTTTTTGACTTACGCACGTCAGGATGAGCGTTAATTCCGTGAAAAGAACTTACACAGAGAAACATACGCGTGTAAAGATATGTGTATCGAAGGATTAATCTTTGACCCTTTCCGAATGGAGATAAACAAGAGACTGAGAAACGAAAGGAGAGTAGCTCTCTACACAGCGAACACATACCTCGAATGTAACGCGATACTACAAAAGCACCTATCGCGTTCATGGCTTTTCGTTCGATTCGAACGAATTCTACCTATGCTTCGTAAATGTCTCGTGAAAAGCACCGATCGTTCGTTTCCTACCCTATTCGATATCCCTTTTGTCTTTATCGAATGTACTAGGATTTATCACGATGCCAATAGTATGCGCTGCTCCAGTAGAATGATTGCGTACTCGCGTAATGGTATACAGGTGTACATTAAGGATGCATTAGTTTTCGATGGAGAGAGAGTGCGACGAGAAACGATGGTGGCACTCGATGGACGAGGCCGACGTTCCAATTTGATCCGTGATATGCGCCATAGAGAGGAACAGAGAGAAAGAGAAAGAGAAAGAGAGAGGGAGAGAGAGAGAGATACTTTGCAGTAGACGACGACGACGAAGCCGCGATGTCCGGAGACCCTGTTATACAGGAAATATAATTACATGGTGCGAGCTGTAAAGCTTCTATATATGTATATAATATTACATTCTACTTGTACGAATAATTAACCTACGCTGTCCCTTTAAGCAATAGGAAATAACTAAAAGAAATATCTCTGCGTTAACTATAAATTACAATGTCTCTGACATTGATTCCAAATCGGAATCTCTTTTGGATCATCTTTTATGCGTAAAAAAACGCGCATTGAACGAGGAGGCTATCTCGTTTAGAATGATCTAATTCCAGTTTCATCCAAATCGATAACGCACCACCATTGCCAACTCGTTTGGCGAACGGCAAGCTTTAATGCCCGTTGCCATTTCATAATTGAATGGAACATCTCCGTTCCAACGGGCACATTTAATAGTACAATACGTTCCATCGGAGAGAGATCTTCCCTATGCCATTATCGCGGAATCCCGCAATACCGGTCTTTCTAAGCGATACAGCTGCCGACGCGTGAATATTCCACATGGAGTTGTTCTCTTCTTAAATATTGAAGACCCATAGGCATAACAATGACCAAATCGTATATCTGTCCGTTTCCCTTTCTATTCTTTTCCATAACGCAAGTAGTCAAAATTTTAATATCTGCGAAACTTGCCGTCGATTAATTATCGTCGTCCCAAATCTCAATTCAATTTCTTATCTATGCACATACATATCCCTATTTGTTTTCCCTTCGAACGGACAAGTACGAAAGACCTCTTCTCTCTTTAACGACACATATCGAGCAACACTCCGTGATTTAATCTTAACGACCTATCTAGCAAAGAACGAGATGAGGACTCCGCGTTGTAAAGATTATGCAGATTTTACGATCAATAATCAGCGCCGGTTCGCTCTCGCGAGGGAGAAAGAGGATCATATTACGTCTATAACAAGAGAGCTGGTATATGCATTACCATAACCTTAAAGGTGGCTCTATTATGGCCGGTTATTACGAATAATCGCGTTAACTGCCGTCACGACTGCTCCTCTCCTCTTTCTATTCCTCTTTCTCTCGGTCTTTTACTTATTATTTTCCGATATTTCGTCGTCGTGGAAAAGGTGTTACGATACCCCGATAGGTATATAAATTTCCTATAATTTATTGAACATTCACGATAGCGGCTAGGTAATTTCGTCGATCGTTGCCATAATAACGCAATAATAACTGAACGTTTTAATAAAATTCTAAAAGTTTTCATTACGAAAAGAGTCGGCAGTTTGTTCTCTAAAATAAAGTAAAAGTAACATTCTAATTAGATTTTTCCTTCTCTGAATGGTATGAAAAATTGCTACCATTGTAAAAATCGCAAGCGTTTACTCGCCGTCGAAAGAGAGAAAGACTTATCGCGACTCGGCTGTACGCGGTTGTTTCGACGTGGTTGTGAAAGTAAAACTCCGTTGCAAATCGCCAATGGAGAAGGACAGAAACGTTTCGCGTCGAGCGTATTCTCGGGATTGCATTAAAAAGTTTCCGGGGTAACGACGACGATTCTATCGTTGAAAAAGTCGACAATTTTCACACGTAGAGCATGAATTCGTTACGCGAAAGCGAACTCGGTCGCGCTTTTCCATCTAAAATTTTCAATGAGAGCTCGTTGAAAATTTCTACTCACAATATGTAATATTACCTATCCACCCATCTAAGCACGCACGCGATGCATGAAATTCGTGCAAAGTGTCTCGAGAAAGTTACAGGATCCTTCCTTCTAGTAATCTCGAATGTTTGTCTTCGGTAACGACGTCATGAATTTTCAGTAGAACCAGAGAGGGGGGGGAGCTTTATGAAATTCAAGAAATCGTGAACGTCGCGTTCTCGTCTTAACGAAATAAAATATTTCACTCACTCTTATGCTTCGAACTGCTCTTCCACAAGCCTCTGAAGAACGACATCCTCGCTGTCCGACGTAGCCCGATCTTCAACGAATCCGTATAGTTTTTCTTCGTTTTTGTTTCCTTTTTTTCTTTTTTTTTTTTTTTTCTTTTTTTCTGTTTCTTCGTTTCGTATTCTCAACGATTTTCTCGAAATGAATAAAACACTCGCGAGAAGATCAAGGAGACACGTGTTCTATAGGTTTTAATTACGTTACGATTCGTCGCACGTTATATCTTTTCCTGACTCGAGACGAGAAAAACGTTCGCAATTCGATAACAAAATCTTCTTCGTGGTAATCTCGAGATCTCAGAAAAGTGACATACTTAAAAGCCGTGAATAAACTCGTAACGGAATCAAAGGTTGAAAAGAGTTATGCTGTTTCGCGTGGAATACGTGTTGCCGCGAAGGCGCACCGCCTCGATGTGAGAGCGTCCGCCGGCGCATCGGGTTTACTCCGCTCCCCTAACTCGTACATGCGCATCTCACTCGCACTTCCCAGATTCCGGTTCCGCATCCGAACCGAATCCGGTCGGAAGGATAAAGATTATTTTTCCCCCGCTTCTGATCGAGAATAACGCGCGCGAACAAATGTTTTTTCTTCGACAACTAAAACAACGGATACAAACATAACCTCCAATGATTCTTTTCAATTTTGTCACTAATTTTATCATTGGATATCGCAGAATCACTGATTATATGTTTATAAAGTATCTCAGTCGATCCTTGACAGAGACGCAACGCTGATAAACTCCCTTTATCACTCGTATTAAACAGGAATAAATGAAATAAACATTCAGCGAATTGCGGAAAAAGAACTGCCGTGAATCTATGTACACGTAGATCGATATCGTAATGTTTTAGTCGCTTAAATCCGTTTGCATTATCGACTTCAATTTTGAACGACAAGTCTAACGAAATTTCGAGATGGCACACTATGTCCCCTTTTTAGGTTATCGGGAGTGTTTGTACAATAATATCTGAATTTGCATGGATGTGTAACGTGTCTATGTAACGAACGCTTGCCGTTGCCGAGTCGAAATCCCTGTGTGTATGTGTCGGCGAGCAAACAGAAAATTTCGCGTCGTTCGTCTTAGCATTGAAAAGATGTACATTTTCAAGAAATTATATAGATCGTTGTATCGATTTATATAATATAATTTATATAGATCAGTAGTGATTGTGACTATGGGCTAAAATCTTGTCGAACACGAATTAAAGCATTTGCGTGTATGTATGAAGCGTCTGTGCGTATAAACGTCAAAGTATTTTTTACCTTACCTTGCCATTGTTAAAATAGGTTTAATTCAGAGAATTATATAGATTATCAGGCCAATTCTTCTCCTCAGGATTTTTATAGGTTATCAGCATTCGAAGGTATAGTTTTCTTTATTCTCACCATTATTCCATATCATTACTACACTGTTTCACCTTCTTCTTCTTCGAGAGAGAGAAAGACTGATAAAACTACTACTGAATTCATAATAAATATTTCAACTAATGATCATTTATTATCGAATACTTGTAGATAAAAATTATATAAAATATTATTCTTTTGGAACATTTACAGGAATATATGTATATGGATTTACCATAAATAGAGATAAATTTTTTTATTATTCGATCGATTAATTGGTTATTTATTTGACTCGAGAGTCAAACTATAGAAAGGTAGAAAAGAGCTATGTTCGTATTGTGTTAACTACGTGCGTATATATTTTAATTACCTTCGTAGAAATAATAGTTGTGCCTACTCTATCGTCATAATTTGGATTAATAAAATTATTCAGGATCTTTTTCCTATTATAGATTTTATATTATAAAAGACTAATTTTTAATAAGAGCCAAAGAAATTGATATATTTATTGGAACGTAATTACCCAAAGTGACCTAGTGCGCATATGCCGCGTAATGTTATCATCTTGCCGATAAAAACAACGCCATTGGTTGGTTTGTGTCGACTTTAACACGAGATACGTATGAGTCTCATCAATTACAGGTAAATTAGCATATTTTTTTCTAATGTACCTCCTTTTTCTATCCATATATATGTATATATATATATCGATTTCTTGAAATGCTTTTTTTAACATATATTATTCACAAATCAAATCATCGTCGCATATAAGAAATATTCGAGAAAATAAAATCAGCTTCTTGGTTTATTCCGCAGGGCTATTATATATCCATATTTCTCTCGCTTTTTAACAATTCTTTAATTAACCATTTTTCATTAATAAACCGTCATAAATCGTAGTTCGTATTATATTCGATTTTTATACATGCATACATACATACATATACGTACACAGACATATGAATCCTCTTACGCAGCTACTCTTAAACAAATACTTTTATTTAATTAAAAATAATTGTCTATATTCGTAATTCTAATTAATCAGATTTTTCATGGATTTTATGCTCTTATATTTTATATCGTATTATGTTATTTTTTAATAATTGTCGAAAAAATTAATATTTTCATTGACTCAGTAGGTACCGGAAGTGACGTTCTGTCAATTACGGGGTCCACTTTTCTTCCTTGCTACTAGTCTTATTACCATTTTGGATACACTGACAAGTCCACACGATAGCTCCGCATTTTTTCAGGTAATTAGCATATTTTTTCTAACGTATATCCTCTTCCAATATATCAATCGATAGCTGAACACGCGATTTTTAAGAGGCCGCGTTTGCAAGTCGGGTTATCATCGCGTTTAAAAGATATCTGCGAAAATAAAATCGGCGTCTCGGAAATCCTCAAGGAGGCTATCGCATCCTACTTTTTTCCAGTTTTCTAGATTTATTTTCACGATATCGATACTTCTCTTGCTTTTTAACGATGCTCCGATCAATAATTTTACATTAATAATTGTGATCGATCGATATTTTGTATTATATTCGATATCCTCACACCATATATATGTACATATATATATACGCACCATATATATGTACATATATATACGCACAAAATATATGTACATATATATATATACGCACGACACACAGTACCTATAAATATCTCGACACACATACACACACACACTTTTAGTCTTATCCTATACTAATAAGTTCTTTCAATTTTCAGATTTCCAAGAATTCCACGAGCATAGCCATTCTTAGTAATATGCCTAGGTAAGTCTACCTCTTTTTAATGACATTCAGTGAGACTCAACAAAGAGAGATAGATATCGTATGTAAATAAATAAGCTCTCGGCTGTGGATTTCCACGAAATTCTTTGGTCGAAAATTTCCAGGAAATTCTTTAGCCGAGAATAACAAAAAAATAAAAAAAGAACAATAGAGTATTCAATGTAGGAAAGAGATCTTCATTACGTAGTTTAAATATAGTTTCTATGTTCTAAATATATGTAGTAAGGATCTGCGAAAAGATCGATTAATTTTCTTTCCATTATATATTTTACTATTTAACATTTCATCGTTTATTCGATATTATAGAAAATTTATTGTTACATAGTATATATTGTATGAATTTGTATACTTTTCAGATTACTCATCATCGAATTTACTTTTTATTGTTTGATTTAAAAATATTATCTCCGAGTGATGAGATTAAGAAATTGATATTGCTTGAATTTGTATCTCAAGATACAAAGCAAGCACTATCAAGTCAACGAATCCATAATTTGGTACATTTCAAAAACCTTTACTTTTAATAATATGTTCACATTAAATTTAACATATTTATTTTAAATAATATCTTAGAATAATCTTTTAGAATAATATACTTCTTTAATATGTTACCTTCAGAGATGATTTGCAGGAAATGTCCTTTATAAATGTGATATTTATTTGATGTATAATTTTTTGTATGTTTCAGTTATTCTCAAGTTTTCCAAATTTTTTCTGATCACGCGCAAGGTGGTCTTAGGATCAGTGTTTGCTCGTAATATTTTCATATTTGTTATTCATTGATAAAATTTAAATTAGTTTCAATAGAAATTCGCGAAGTAGAGTCAGTGTTAGTGCATTATTCATCATTCTGGAGCAGGATGCTCATCATATAAAGGATCGACAAAGAATCTAGTAAGTAAATTTCTTTCTTAAATATTTCCTTAATAATGAAAAAAAAAAAGAAGAAAAAAATTGTATTTTTAAAAATGATTCTATGATAACTTTGTCTTTTTTTCTTTTTCAGATCGTCATTGAAAACGTGCGGGTGATAACGAATCGAGTGTTGTATCGTATAAATAAAAATTAAAAGTACTGTTCGTTTGTTCAAATTTGATCGCGATTCGGGATTCTATTAAAGACAAGTGTATTTTAGTCGATTACGAGCAAAGTAATCATAGTATTAGGATTTGTCCGTCTAAAGTTGTATTTTTATTTTAAAAGAAATTGTTCGTGAATTAGAGTCAGTGCATCATTGAAGATGAATGAGAAATAAGACTTTTTCTGTAGAAAACTATTGGTAAGTAAATTCACAAATTTCATAGGTAATAATTCAAAAAATTTTTTTCATTACAATAAATTCCATAAAAATTTCTTTTCAGTTCTTTTTAAGGTCATCATTATAATCCTGCCTTATCAATCTACAAGGATGTTAACCTAGTTCATGTTCGATCTCGGATCAATCTATCTGATTTTCAACCTCATACGGATCAATCTCCCTCAATTTTATTCTACATCGCGAACGAGTGTTTTGGAGCCATCGCAGAACTTCTTAAGTAGTGAGTGAACAAATTTTAAGTCCCTCCAGTGCTCAATCATGTCGAGGACGAAAGGTCCGAATCGGCACGAGTAACTGGTTGTAATTTTTTAAATAAATTATTGACGAGCACGTGAATAATTTCTCTTTTGAAATTACTCACGAATAGATTATTTTTTTTTTTTTATACATATTTTCCATTGATTGTTTTTTGTGCATGCTTATTTTTATTAGCCCAGGATAGGGTCCTCTTGTTTCATCGGTTCGACTTGTTTAATTAACAGTGCAATTAATTAGCACTTGCTTTCTTCCTGTTTGTTCGCGATATTAGTAATGAAATCGGGCATTCATTTACCCGATTTCGTTGAAAAGGCATGTGTGGTCTGTGTTACATGCATTGCACCGTACTTAGTCTATTTAATTGCAAACTATTTCGATATATCGTTATCTATGTGTATCAACAAATGAACAAGAAGACAAACGCGACGGATAGATTCTGAGAAACAAGTGATGGATCATGATCTTGTCTTTTAATTAGAATAGTCACTTGTTGAAAGGAATCGTCCGAGGTTTTTTAATTATAGTTGCATGAAAAATTAATTAAATGTTCAATCAATTTCATTGATAAAAAAAAAAAAATTACAATAGAATGATTGCTTTTAAAAGAAAAAAGTCTAGTAGAGCCATTGTTAATAAAAAAAAAAAAAAAAATAAAGAGACTTGTAGAGTCATAGTCCGTAGACCCTAGAATAAGTTAATCAATTTTTAGATCAGGATTTTCAGCTTCTAATGAACTAATTCCCGTTTCTCCCTCCCCCCATTTTTTCTGCGTTCTCATCTATGCGTGAGCCCAGGTGTTACTCGTATGGGTGGAGAAACAGTTAATATGGGTTTAGTTTTAAGTCTTCCCTTATTGGCGGCTGTCATAGCGTTAGTGATTGCGCACGATGTATTTTGCGCCTGTGTGTACGTGTTAGGTGGTGCTTTGTACATCGTTTCGCGATAACTTGAAAATAAATACGAATATTGCTATATTAATATATTATTATTTATATCGTTTTGCATAGTAGAGTTACCATATATCATGTGGAAATACTCGTATATTATTAGTATGTATATATACTAGTATGTACTAGTATTTTTTGCTTTAGTCATTTACGCAATAATCATTAGCCTTGACGGTCGATTACAGCAATTGGTACGTACCCACCTTAGTATGTAAGTTAGAGAAACGTGGTTGAGCTAGGGTGTCGGAGGTGCCCCGGGGCATACTCTCTAGTGTAGGTTTTTGCACCCTGGCGGTATGTGAGAGAATCGTGGAGTGTGTGTGTTGGAATGAATGTTTTGCTATATTTTTTAAATATAGATCATAGGCAGGCAGATAGCATAACTTTTTCCGTGCGAATGTTTGTTTAATTTTAAGTAGGTAGGACCGGATAAGACGTAGAATATAATTTCCACTTAGAAATGAAAAGTTTCGTCTCCGGATATTATACAAAGTTTCAGCAAATTTTAGAATTACTCAGCATGTTTGTTTTCCTCTTTATTTTGCTGACGCTCTGTATAGCGATATATATCAGTATGGAACAGTTTAAAATTTTTTGCGTTTGTTTAAAAATTCATTTCTTTCGAATTAGCAAAAATTTTTTAACATGTTCGATACTTAATATTAAGTATTATAACAGTTTGCATTTTCGTGGTTTCTAAAATAAATTATAATTTGATATGCATGTTTATTAAAGTAAATATATAGTAAAAATGCAAAGTAAAAATGATCAGATAATCATAAGATATATCATAGATTTTCTACTTTTGTTCGATACTTGTTAATTCTAAAAATGCAAAATGTTAATAATAGGTTCATCGATTAGATTTAATATCTGCTGTGGCATTCGATTAAATGTGTTTGTGTAGATGCGCACGATTGATGGATTTTTTCGATCCATTGATCGTCCACAAACTAGGATAGTTCGTGAAATATATAATAAGTGTTTTTATTTATATTTTTTTTTTTTTTTATTTATTTATTTTGTTTTCCTCATTAATAATTGCGTACGATGAAGGTAGGGAATGCCCTACAGCAGTGGTTAGGACACGAAGCAAAGAAGAGGCTATATGCCGAAGAGGCCCCCACAAACTGTGGCTCAAGAGGGCAACTATCGACTACGAGTTATCTTTTTCAAAGGTACACAGTTCGTTGTAATCTTTGAAAATCTGCTCGTGGTCTTATTATTTTATATTTAATCATATTATTATCTTGCTCGTCAGTAGTAGTAGTTATTACAGATGGAGATGATTGACCATTCCATCTCCATTAAGGTACATGAAGTTCATGCCTGAATCGTTCACCAGATGCACAAATACTTAATTAGTGTCAAAAATACTTAGATTCGTGGATTATTAAATTTTTTAAAATAATTAACTATTATTAATATTACAGTAGTTACTCTTTTACAATTTTTAACTCTGATGGAATATTATTTGTAATTTTCGTATAAATAACGCGGTAAAGAAGTAACTTATAATATAATTCCTATATATTTTATTTTTATTAATTATGATAATATTTGAAACTTTTCTTGATTGATTAAGCATTATACGTTGTAACGTAGAGTCGGTCACGCGTTTAAACTTGATTCTATTGCAACGCGAAATATAGGGATTTGATAAAAATAGATAGGGAATTAAATTGAAAAGTGCATCTTCATATTGGCAGAACAAATATGTGCTATATTTCATGTTATTATTTGTATGATGATTGTATGATTAATATATTTTCTTTTTGTTACAGATGATCATCGTTGGATTTATTAACATCAGCTATTTTCGATTAGAGCGCTTCCAATGATTGCTGTTTTAATTGTCATATGTATATATGCATTTCTGAAGGCAAACATAAAATATCTAATATAATTATTTATAATTCTATAAAAAATATAATTTTAATATTACTGTAACAAATATAATTTTAAACATAAGTGAGATGTATTAAAGATTTTGAAGGCGTTAATGAATTAAGGTTTGTTTCAGATTTACAATCTCAATTGGATTCTTATATTAATAATATCGGCAGGCATATAGAATGAAATTACATATTTTTTCAATTTTATTCTATTTGTTTCCATGATTTGTTGTATATGCAGTATTTTTAATTTTTCAGGTCTTTTCGATTGTTAAAATTCTTTTGCGACATGACACATTAGGATGTCCAGGTTTCCGATCGATACCGTGGCGATGGAGAAAATTAAAATTTCCACTAGTTTTTTCTCTGATGCTTTAAAGATTTTATAATTTTTTTCAGATTCTAATAAGTACCATTCTCAATTTTGTCATGATCAAACTTTTTTTTTTTACTTCTACTTCGCAGTCCTCTCGAATCTCAATGCGGGCTCCTAGATAAGTGACTTTGGTTTTAATCTGCATATCTTGAATAATGTTCAAGTTTTGAAGTAATGTATGTGCTCGGTTAATTACTAGTAGAGAACATTTTGGCTCTATTCAGTTGGAGACCCACTTCCGCACTAGTCTCTTCAATGCAAGAGAGAAGTTCGGTCATTTTTTCTTCATGATACCGATAATGATATTGAGAGTATAGTAATATGTAAAACTGTATGACGTTGACTTCAGAAAATATGAAAGAATTAAATGGTATTATCAAATTGTTAGAATTTCTTTGATCACAAAATCTAATTAATATAATGCTTTATGGGTGATATCTATTTTTAAAACCTTTAAACAATACGATGGCGTAATTATTAATGGCTATTATTTAGTTTTCGATAATAATAAATAGCCTTAACGATAGTAATAAATAGCGTTATTATTAATTATAAGCATTTAATAATAAGAAATATTTCATTTTATAAGTAATGGTATTATTATAACAGTTTTACTTTTTAAGTTAATTTATTTTTAAGGCTTATTTAAGACAATATTAAAGAAAAAGTAAATATTTCTTTTATCAAAAGTTCCAGTTCTATGATTAAGTCATTTTTAAGATCAAATTAAAAAATGTAAATAATTAATAGATCTGCCATTTTTGGCCAAAGATGGCAGATCTGTTAATTATCCGCCACTTAGTAATTAAGATAGTTTAAAGAGCGTGGATATATATTGGATTAATTCATGAATGAGTGTCGTCAGTTGTAAAACAGCATTTATTTATGAATTAACACAATATTTTTTTAATCTTTTCTTGAATTATATTACTTTATTTATCTTTTAAATATCCAACTTCAGATTTATCAATAACAAAATATTTTGTATTAATTATAAATGTGAGATAATAAAATGCGATTATAAAATACATGTGCTTTTATATATTCCCAGTATGTACAAATTATACATAAAAATTATATCGATTAATAATATCAGGATAATGATTTAGAGAATATTGATAGAATTTTAGAAAGATATCTTTAAGACGATTAAAAAAAAATCCACGCTTTTTCTCACGGGTAGATTAGAGTAAAATTGCGGTTTATGAACCCTCGATCAACTATGATCGGGTTGATAGAAGATTCATTAAACGCGACTAATTAATGTGTTATTTTAGCCTGTGGATCTCCACATGCAGCAACCTCCACGTGGTGAGATCTGGGTCGGTATTACTTGCGATCTATCAAAATCTAAATCATGTAACGCAAGTACTATCGGGCTAATAGCTGCATATTTCGATGCTTTTCTAAATTATTTTTTTTTCTAAGTGCATTTAGACACATTATTAATCATACTTAAACAAATAAATTAAATAACATTATCAAATTTCTTACTGAAGAATCTAAAAATGAAAAATCGAATTATTTCAAATAATCTTCTTCGTGATAGTTTCTCTTCGTAAAATGAAACTTATCTTTCTGCCAGTAGTTTCACGGTAGCAAAAGCAAACTTTACGAAAAGGCACTACGTCACCATGACTCGTTTTTCAGGATAACACACGTTATTAGAATACTTAGAGAGGGAGTTAAAACAAAATATCGTCTCCTCCTAGCCACCTTTCCCACTCTTCTCTACTCTTCTCTACTTTTTTCCAGCTACTCTTGACTAGGATCTCCGTTGTGAAGCTTTGTAAAGAAATTGATATGTAGACGGCGTTTTCCTTTGCTGTGAGAGACTACCGTGAGTAGCAAGCTTTACCACCTAATTTCATGGGGAGATGCCCTTCCGTAAACTTACTAGTAAAGTCGAACTTGGACGGATAATCTCGTAGAAGTTAACGATCTCTGAGAGAGGGAGAGAAAGAGAGAGGGGGGGGAGGGAAGGGAGAAAGGAGAGAGAGAGAGAGGGAGAGAGGAGAGAGAGAGGAAAGAAGGGGGAACAGTCTGATTCGATTTAACGGGACTTGCAGCTTCATCGGCCTCTCTCTTGCTTCGACTTTCGAGCTGAATATACGAAAGACCGTGAAAAAATATGCAAACAACGTAAAGAGCCAAGCGTCCAGTATAATTTGATGCAATTACCGTTGATGCAATTATGAAAGAAGAAAAAGAAAATGAAGTAGGAAAAAAGAAATTGTCTAAGAAATTTCCTTACTTCCCTACCTTTATTTCCTTGACTTTCTCTATCATGAACAAGAGAATGATTGGCATTAAAGACACTAAGAAAACCGTTTATTATAGATAATTATTACGGTGTCGTTTGAATATCTTTAAGAAGAATAGACGAAGACATCGATGAAGAATCTCGCCATTCTTTTATCTCCTTCGTCGTTTATTATTCAACGGGTAGCTTAGCATCGTTGAAGAAGTCGATGGTAATTTATCGGATCGTGGCCCTCTAAACCCATGGATAGACGGCACCGTGGTAAAAGAACGCCTTAGGGGTGAAAACGAGAGCCCAACGCTCGATCATCGAGAGCCATTATGCTCTCGTTAAGCGTGCGATTGACTTTAGAGTTCGTCGACGATGCCGCCGTCGATTGCGGCCGTCGAACGGCTCGTCGAATCAATTTTACGCGCTCGCTTCGCGAGAAATTGCCAATCGTTCGTTGAAAAAGTGAAATATATAGAGAGACGGAGAGAATATTCGCGAATATACATATATATATATATATATATATATATATATATATATATATATAAATTTCACAAGTATTAAACTTGCAAAAGTGAAATTGATAAAAAGAATCCTTTTGAACTCAATATTTCTCATCGCTCAGTTCATTTTCTCCGATTCACCGTCATCGAGTTACTCGAGATTCTCCGATTCCCTCCTATTTCACGCTAAAACGAAGCCGCTCCGAACTTTTGTCGTGCGAACATAGAACATGGAAGAAGATCGTGAAAAGGTCCACGGAAGGAACTCTTACTCGTGCTCACTCTTCTTAGAAAACGTTTGAAAAGGGCAAGGGAAATCGTTTGAGTATTTTTATTTTTTAATTCAAAAAGCGATTAATGCCTCTATGAAAAAATATATATGTATATCGATCATATTTCCACTTTCCTTTTGGTATCAAAGGAATTTTTTCGAAACTCATATCGAACTAGGGAGAAGTAGTATTTCTTCTCGAATAATATTGTCAAAGTTAGATCTCGATCTCGACAAAGTTATAATAAACGGATAGATTTCGATCGAGTTTGTACGTGAACGTAGCATGCAAACGCATAAACTCGAGAACGTGAACCATTTGAAGATACCTTATATCAACATTTGTTACAACTTCATTACAACAGATCCTCGCATTTAACGCACTCTCATTTTTCGTTTTTCGATCGATGGGTAATGGTGTAATAGAATCACGTAGAGTATTCTCAGTTTTTTCGTGTCTTAGCAAGATGTTACGGTTCTAACTACTGTACGGAGTTGGATCTGACTGAATAGTCGTAGAATTTACTACTTCCATCTAGCTCGGAATATGATACATATATTTTTTTCGAATAAAAAAAAGTTATTGAAGCCAGATAAAAGAGTTTCGCATGAGAGGAGAGAATAGATCGGTTTTTTTCAAATAAAATACAAATTGTCGAACGTAGAAAATAATATACTTATTAAGAGAATGGCGGATTATCAACAGGCAAGAAGATACAATTCCAATCGGTCGATTAATCGCGTTATCATCCCATCGGCTGAAAATTTTCTAAACTTTGAACTCTTGCGAAAGGTTTAAAGCAGCGATCGAATTGGTTAAAGGAACAACACAGTAACTTCTTAGAACTTTCCTCTGCTCGACGACAACGAAAAGGACATCGATGAAGAGGATGTTGCTTTTGTACGACGGAAATGCAACTCGTAATTCAAGGAGGTGCCGACGTCTCGTCGGTGAGCTGTTCGTTGAGTCTGTGGAAAGGAGAGAGCCGATATCTCTACGGTATGGCTGGAGGGTGAAGGACCGAAAAGAGGAAGAGAACTTGAAGAAGAAGAAGAAGCGTGGAGTGGAGTTAACCGTTCGAGACGAAAGTCTCGACGAGACTTGCATCAGCCGGCGTGTACGAGACTTGCTCCGGTTCTCTGCAAAGGCGCGTATAAGTGGTTGAAAATCGAAGAGAGAAAGAGTGAGAAGGGACCCACCACGAGTCTCTCGTGACCGAGCTCTCCTCTTCGTTTCCTCTGTGGTTTTGTCTCGCATACCACTCTTTCTTCTTGCTCTCTGTCTCTCTCTCTCTCTCTCTCTCTCTCTCTCTCTCTCTCTCTGTCTCTCTTTCTCTTTCTTTCTCCTCCACACATACACACGCATACGCACATCATTTAAAATCCCATCGAATTTCTCCTTTGCCTTTCTTTTTTTTCTCCAAGCACCGTCTCCCTTTTCTCATCCTTCCTCTTTCCTTCTACTCTTTCTACTCCTTTTCTCTTTATCTCTTTCTTTTAGTCACACTCGAGAGTTTCGGCTGGCCTTGATCCAGTCGCACCAACCTCGACTTTTCAAGGGGCCTGTTAGTGTACGACGGTAGAAAGAAAAAGAAGCAGCATTCTCATCGTCGTAGTCTGCGAGCTTTGAACCACAAAGTGCATCCTTCCATTAGAGCGCGTGATACTTCGTGACCAGCCGGCTGCAAGAGCAGGTAAATAGTACGCGCTCGTGCTTTCAAGACTTGAGATAGACGACGACATGATACTATTGATGCTACTATCTTACGAAAAAAAAAAAGAATGAATTCTATGTTTTACTAAGAAAAATATGATTTATATATACATAATATATTATATATATATATATATTATGGAAGACGTATAGGTTCAAAATAGAAAAAACAATATACATTTTCCCTTCTCGTAAAAGGCGATTACCGTGAATAAAGTGATCGAACCATGGAAGGGTCATTACACCGTCTGACGCATCTCGATACTTTCTCTCTCATTGTCAGTCGCTTCTACTCGACCTCAACTTCGCTTCACGCAGACACGCGTTACGATAATATCTCTAGACTTTACGTTTGCATTTTTCCCTTAGTCCCCTTGAAATTGTCACTTTAAAAATATGGTACGGAAATTCTCTATGGAAGGAAAAAATTCTTTTCAAACGAAGAGAAAAATGAAGCCACAGACGAAAACATACATCATATACCTATCTAATATCTTTAGACAACGTGAAAGGTAGAAAAATATCGAGACATAATAAATGAGACACGGCGATCGTAAGAACGGAGAGAAGAGAAAAACATTTACGACCGTTAGCTTGTCGACGATGCAGGTGATCGAGAGGAGCCCAGAGACTGTTGGCCGGCTGATGCAAGTCCGTTTGCAGTCTCTCGCGATGGAAAGGCACGCGAAAGAATTCAGGGTTGAAAGTGTGTAAGTATAACGAGTCGTCCTGTCTGGCCGGGGAAGGCCGATTATCCTGCTCTTGCGAAGGAGAAAAGACAAGGCAGAGAGAGAGAGAGGGAGGGGGGGAGGGGGAGGGAAAGAGAAAAAGAGAGAAGGGATAATTGGGCCGAACGCGACTATAGGTCGGCTGATGTAAGAATCGACTCTCCATACGCGGCATTTCCTTCTTCGATCTCTCGGAAGTACAGCAAAAATGATAGATGACGATCGATCTGACTTTCCAATCGCGTTACCTTTCACGAATCGATCTCTCGATCGACTTTTTCCGAGGAGCTCAAATATTTTTTGCCGTCGATGAATTATTTTACTCTTTAATATTTTTTTCTCCCATAACATTTAGTTTTCTTTTATTTTCCCTTTTTTTCTATTGTTGAGACTTCGTAAAAGATATCGGGTGTAATCCGATAATATAATATCGATATGAAAACAAATTAATGTAAATATTTTAGGAGGAAATATCGAAAATAATAGCAAAAGGATTAACGGTCGTAAAGATCAAATTAAAAGAGAGTGGAAAAGAAAATGGCACGTCCACCTTTTGTTTCCTTCTAGTTACGAGAAGCTGGAAATGCGGGCGCTCTCGAAAGCCACGAAGTAGTCATAAATCTAGCGGAAGGACTGTGGAAACGCTTTTTCGCTTGCGAGGAAAAAGGAGGAAGGTTGAAGGAGTAGGAAAAAAATAAAATAAAAAAGAAAAAACGTAAAGGAGAAAGAAAAACCCAACATCTCTCGCGGAAATCGAGTAATTTCTTCGAAAAGCACAGAGAACTAACTTAACGAGGAATGCCATTTCCTTTTTGTTTTATTTCTTTTTTGCCTACTTCTTGAGTTGGTACAAGTAAGTTCTTACTTTGGAATAAATTTGAAAATGTTTTTATTTCCGACGAGTAAAGAAAAATTGCCGCGAGTTGTTCACTAATTTGAATATATCGCGGTATGTTCGATGAAACGCTTAGCGATATACGTTAACGATCGAATTCATTGGAAATAAATACATTGAATTCTACGTTAGATTTTACGATCCGGCTCGCCGTTAGGCACTCACTCGTTTTTTCATTAAATAATTATTACTATCGTTATCGTTATCGTTTACGGTCAGAGTTTTTGTCGGTTTTACGTAAAAAATATCTGTGTATACGAAACGATACGATCCAGCGATCGTATCATTTTATTCCGAGCGGACGAATCACAAGGCAGACAACAAATCCAACAAGCGTGTATCTCTCTATACGGGAAATATCGCGTTATTTCCGCGTTCCGCGGATAAGTCGACGAGAAAAATGTAAAGCAAGTGTGAAGCGCGATTGCAATGTAGAATATCTCTCCTTTTCTTCTTTCTTTCTCCCTATGCCCCGTTTTATACATCGTGAGCCAAAACATGATATTTCTTCTATAAGAGATAAACGACCGTTGCATTTTCCCATAGGATTTAGATACACAAAGCTGATTTCCATGAAATATACTAGCCTCTCGGAAACGGCTATGAAAATCGTCGTATCTAATGAAAAGGAAGAAAGAAAAAGTAAAAGAGGATAAATATGGAAATGGAATTATCTTTTTACCCGCTAAAATTTCGGTAGCTTTCAAATCGCCAAAGTAATAAAATATTTCGAGTTTCGAGCAACAGTATCGTATAAATAAATAATCGAAAAAAAGAAGAGAATAGGTTAGTACGTGCGTTTTATATGAGAGATCGGTCTAAAGACTTTGCTAAAGGAACCGTCCTTCCACTTTTTTAATATTCTGACCACGAAATCGCAGGGAGCAAGTCCTTTATTTTCTCTGTGGATAGAGTTGAGTAGAGTTGATCAGAGAGAGAATGGTACCGACCTTCGAGGCTACCCTTTTTCTTCTACGTCGCGACAACGAACAGAGGGAGTAGAGAAAGGTATTCATCGATCACTTATGGAAGCAAGGTTTTTCGTCTTTTCGACAAGAAAGGCTTCTTTAAAAGAGAAAGGAAGACACATAGTAGAGAGAGAAAGAGAAAACAGGAACGCAATATTCCCGGGGAAATAAGCTACTGAACGGAGGGGCAACAATTTTCTGCGACGACGTGGAAAACTTACCGAGCCGTATCTCAACGCGAGTAGAACGACGCGCCTAGAGGTAGCAACAGCAACTGTGGCAATTCAGAAATAACGGGAAGAAGACGACGAGACAAGGAGAGTGCAAAAGATCCGGAATACGTAATCTTACGGGAGCTTCTGGGATTTTATTTGGCGAAAAAGAGAGGGACAAAGAAGCTTTCTTCATTCTCATTTTCTTTTTTTTTCCCGATCTGTTTTCGGATGAAAATGTTTCCGTATGGAAAGCCAGCGATGATAATCGCTAGGGAATAATATAAAAAGAAGAGAGAGGAGAGAAAGAAAAACGTCGACTGTTACGAGTCTATTAAAAAAAAAAAAAAAAAAAAAAAAGAAAAAAAAAAGAAAAAAAAATGACAGGACGATATGATCGCATAATAAACAATACGATACATTTGCGTATGTACATAAGTGTAAACGAAGAACGAATTACAAAGACTCGGCTTATTCACTTTTCTGAACGTGTTTCAACTCGAAAACCATTTCGCCTTGATATACGATATCGAAGCGAGGTGGTAGAAGGCTCATCCAGAAGCGCGCCCATAAAATATTCCGTATGCGCATGAAATTGATTTTCCGTCTGCATGGGAAATGCGCTCTGCGTGGCTCTCGTGTTGTACGATCGCAGAAGGACAAGAAGTAATAGAAAAAGAAAAGAAAATATTGGAAAATTACTTGAAAAGAAAAGAAAAAAGAGAAGAAAAGGAAAGAAACTTCGATCACATTCTGGCCTTTTCTAAGTTATTTTGAAAAAAAATTCATTTCCCTCGTTTACGATAAATTTACCAAGTTACCGAAGGCAAATATTTTCCTCGTTTATCTTTTTTTTTTGTTCTTTTAGTTTTTCCTTCATCCAACTTGAAGCTATTCGTTCGACGAAAGAACGATGAGAAAAACGATCGTTGCACGTCGATCCAATTTCTTTCTCTTCGTCTCCGAAGACCGGAATACACACCGTCGGCGTTCATGCATTTTTCGACTCGACTGTGGAAGAAACGTCTCAACGTTAAATTAAATTCAACGAACGCAGAAGCCACTGAACAATATTCCAATTTTTCTCCGTCGCCATCATCGTACTACCTCTTTTGTTTCTGCGTGTAATACTTCAGCACGACCGAAAGTCTCTTTCCTCTTCTCTTTTACCTCATCTTTTTCTCTCTTTTGACGACCTCGTCTCGCCATGTACGTATTAATTTTCTCTGGCGTCGATCCATGGACACACGTCGAACGGCCACGATATCGCGAAAAAAATTCGTTCGAACATTCTCCAACAGATTATCAAAAAAAGAGAAAGAGAGAGAGAGAGAGAGAGAGAGAGAGAGAAAAATTTTGCTCCTCTTTAATAACTTAATCGTTTCTTTATTCCTTTTTTATATGCTTACATACATATTATATAGAAATCATTTTAGCAAATACATGCTACGTCATAAAGGCAAAGATAAAATAAAACAGTTGGTTGAAATAAAATCTAGCGCATGACGTAAAACCGCGCGATTTTCAAATGAATAACATTATGAACTGAACTTGACACCAAGACTAAAAAAAGAAACTATGTCAGTGGATCGCGATATCTACGCCTTGGGTTTCAACGAGAAAGAAATAAGCTGAGCAAAGATCAGAGAGCTATTCTGAAAACTCGAAATGTAGAAGTTGGTTGCATAATATTGTTAACGATAATAATCGTATAGATTTCTTACTATCGAAACACATGCAAATTTCTACAATCATAATTTTTCTTCTTTACATTCTTTACATTCTAGTTAAAAAATATTCCTCTTATCTATTACATTCGAGTATTATTTCATTTCTATTTCATTTAAATATCATTTTAGTAACAGTTCTTCGTTTAGCTTATATCGAGCTAACTTTGTTACATAGAATATCATCCAATCGAAAGATATTTAATTACACTTGTTCGTTAGTTTCCATATCTTTCTCTACTTTACTTTATTTTACGTAAACGTTTCCATGGATGCATAAGAAGAAATAAATATTTATCTATCTTAAGTCTGTTAGCCTCAAATAGCAATCCGTGGATCATTCGGTCTTTTCCGAGAGCAAACGCAAGCAACGCGCAACGCTTACGGAGTAAAAGGAATGGAACTCATTACTCGACTCTGGGGTATTACCTGACTTTATCGTGAAAAACG